CCCTACTGCAGCTTTAAGACCGTTAAGAGGGTAGCACGTGTATTTGGTTATTTGTTGGTTGGTCTACTCTGCTCTGATTGGTCAGATGGCCCAGTCTGTTGTGATACAGTTCGTGTCGGACACAAATGACCATTACCATATCTGAATTTCAGTTCCTCAGCACTTGATACACAGGAATATGAAAAGGGCTGCCCCCGACTAAAGATTTTTCTAGTCGAATAGTAGTCGTTCATTCAAGCCATTAGACGACTAAACGCACATTTATATATTAATTGAATTGCTTAAATACTGGGGTGTAATATTTGGCCTATTACACGCCTAAACTCACACATAAAGCTTGCCGCAACGCATCGGCAAAAGTAATGATTATAAACGTGTTGGAAAAAATAGCAAGGAGACATTTTAATTGTTTATTAATAAACTAGTGTTTTCTGAGTCAGTGTCGCTGCAAAGATGAAGTTGCCGATGCTGACTCTCATCTCCGCCGTAAAGTGGACACACCTTTAGAGAGAAATGCACCTTTCATGCGGATTACATAAGCAAAGAGTATTTGTAGACATTTCAAGCTTTCTATAGATGCATTTCTCCTGTCTGTGAGGAAGTGGACACTGAGTTTCGCTTCATTTTTGTGCCGTGCTCGAAGTTCACCGAGACAAGAGATTTTACAAAAGCACTACATTTTTTTTTTGTTATTGTGAGTTTACACAAATAAAAGTAGACCCTTTATGTTTCTAATGATGTATTGTATTACTCTTATCTGTATGACCGGAATGAGTATTTTAAGTTGTTTCCGCTGCTATCAGGAAAGAATGCAAGTGATCGCGGCGGCGCCTCTGTCGTGCAGTAAAGCACACTATACTTCAGCTCGGCACACACACACTCGATAAGCTCCTAATAATAGCGCACATTTATCTAGGATAATGATAGAGTTATGTAAAGTTGCTACTACTTTCATGTTTAAATGATAAGCCATATTTGTGGTTGATGGATGATAGGCAAACGTTTGGATTTACTGCCCGACACACTGTAATTACCACAAGAACCCGCCGTTAACGATCTGTCCGTCACAGACTGCGTCACTTCGCCAACTCCTGTGGACTTTTTTTTTTCTGCGACTAACCGACTGACTAATAAAATCTTGATCGACTAACGTTATGGGGCAGCCTTAGATATGAACAGTATTGATGGTGTCAGTTTTACTGTATCAATTTGAGTGCGAGTCTCCATAGTTTTGGATGTGCAGAAAACAGCCGCTTCTTCTCGACATGAATAACGTGATTCAAACTCTTCCAGTCTCAGCGTGCAGATACAGTGTTTGAGGTTCAAAGTAGGTGTTGTTTGAAATGAAGACCATAAGCTGGCATTAAGCAAATTTGTTACGAAGGTATGTAACGGGAAGGGCGACTGGATTATTGTTGACTCGTTTCAGGCAGTTCAGAATCCTTTCTTTTTTTAGGAGACAATACCTCCATTTATCTGCACTTTGGTCTTAGACATTTTACAAACAGCGATATTACACACTACATGAAAGGTAATATCTGAAAAAGCACAGTAGGGGCACTTTAATGCTGCTAGCATTGCAACATCTCAGAGTCACGTCTCTCTAATCTCTGATCACTCACAGTATAAAGTGTTTGTCACATGGAGCGCCACATGCTGTGTCTCATCCTGTGATGATGTTGACACAATGTAAATGTTTGGTAACACTTTAGTTTAGGGTCAAATTCTCACTATTAACTAGTTGCTATTAGCGTGAATATTACTATGAAATTGTCTGTTTATTACTTATAAAGCACATATTATTGCCCCCAAAAAACTGTTTAAGTGTTTCATGACTCTTTAAGCCATGCCATTTAACATTTAATTACTGTAGTTAGTTACACGTTTCTCTTGATTTATTGGATGTTTTACAGTAAAGAAATTATAGCATATATCTGGGATTTTTGGAGAAAATGATTCAGACACGACAGCACACAAGATTGCTCTTGAATTTAAATACATGGTTGAATGCATCTTTAAAATAATTGAGTTGTATCAACACAGACCTACCTTGAGTTCTGAAAGTAAGTGAGGATTAGTGCTTAAATGCCATAGGTCAGAGTGATTTTAACTTTATTAAAAAAGGCAATAACCGAACTCCCAGTGAAGAACTACATTACCCATGAGTTCAGAGAAGAGTTACCATGGCAACGGATTCTGCGTCAAGAGTTCGGCAACCGCCCACTCCCGTGAAGCATCGTCAATGATGCGATCCGAGTCACTCTCCCAACATTATGCTATTTATATATATTTCGATTTTAGCAATATGCCTAAATAATATTGTTTTTGCTGATGTAATTAAGCATTATAGTTTTGTTTCTCACAGTTGTTATAGTGTCCGACACTGACCGCATGGGCGTAGCCACTGTTTTCACGGTGTGTTTCTGCGTATGAGAGCGAGCGGCTTAAACACTGATGGATCAATGTGGAGAGAGAGAGACTCATGGGGATGGTAACTATGGTAACTGATGGTGAATCCTGTGGGCGTGCAGCGGTTACCATAGTTACCTCCTCAGGTCTTGGGTGTGATGATGATGATGATGTCAACCAGCATGCTAGACTGTCTCTCTCTCTCTCTCTCTCTCTCTCTCTCTCTCTCTCTCTCTCTCTCTCTCTCTATGAATGAGTCAGGCTGCACTGAAGCAGATGTCCCTCTCTTTTCTCCAGTTCCCTCTCGTTCTCTGTCGTGCTTCAGATCTTAATGTGACGAGCGAGTGAGGTAGGCAGTGTGTTATGAATTTTTGTCTTTCTCCTTCTCACAGACTCTATTGTTCCCTGTGCTACGGTGTGTTTAATGCAGAGAGAATGCTTCGTGACAGAGCAGCTCTATATAGTGCAGTGCTTTGAGTGGATTTATGGCGTCAGTGGTAATTTACTGCGACTTCTGAGAGACTGTGCCGAGCGGCAGATTGATATTTGGTGGATGATCAATGGCGTGTGTTTGAGAAGGTGCAGGGGATCATTAGATGTTTGTTTCTCAGAGTGGCTCTTGATTGGGTCAGATTTCTCCTAAAGTAAAAAGCATCATGGGCTGCTGAGAAGTAGATGTTTCCCTGGATTACAGTGGCATCTTTTCAGTTATTTGAGATTGCAGGCTGCAAGTTTTCATAACAGGTATGGATGACGTGCGCGTGTGAGATGATTCATACCTAGTGAACGCACAATAGATCATGCGCTTCGTGTTTCACAGCGTCTGTTTTTTTGATATTATAAAATGCAAGATGGGGTCAGTGACGGCTTAAATGCTGATGTGTTTCTATGCTGACCTTGTTCTCTTTTCTCACAGCACTGATATCACACAGTTACTATATCAGTAGCTCAAATAGAATAGGCTTAAATAACGTATAGTAGCTTAATGAAGAGTTTGAGCGACCATTTCCCACTTATTCTAAGCAAGCTTTTTGAGAGATTCAGGCTGCAGAAGAGAAGAGGGGTGATATATTTTCATATAATCGTATAAGGAACTATTCTATATGGCTGTTGGTCCGGACGACATCCACAGTCAGTTTTTAAAGCGTTTACCTCGTACTGTTTTGAACTTCCTTTAAAGAATGTCTTGGAAAGCAGTGGAAATCATTCATGTTCCTAAAGCAGGGAAAGTTCACAACGAACCATTCAGTTATTGTCCCATAGCCTTCCTTGACAAAGGGTTTATGACGTAAAACCATGACGAGAATAATAATAATAATAATGGTTATTATTAATAATGGTTAATGAAGGCCATGATGGAGTCCAATCATCTTATAAGTGATGCTCTATGCTGATGCTCAAAGGATATGCGATTGGTGTTTTCTTTGATTTGGCGAATGCTTTTGATGCAACTTGGTCGTACATTGTTTTGTTTTCACACTGCCTACTTTTATTGATAACTATCAGTGTTTATGCTGGGGAGTTCAATGTCAAGTCAAGTCACCTTCATTTATATAGCTTTTTACAATACAGATTGTTTCGAACAGGAGAGTGATGCGACACAGTGTGTTTCTGCTGTACTCCAGAGGAAAATAGCATCATAGTCAAGTTCAGTGATGGCTCTTTTTTGTTGTAAAAATGTCTTTGACATTTAATAGCGTCTGTTCCCATTAATAAATGACTTGTATAGAGCTTTATTGTTTAAAAATGTTGACATTTTTCATGCCAATTTCTTTCTCTGAATCTCCAAGGGAAGGAATCTGAATTTGCTGTGTCTATTAGGGTGTGCATTAATTTTCTGATTATCATATGGCCCAGAAAGACCAAACAGCTCCTTGTTAATTTCCAACAGTGTCTGTCGAGAGGATTAGTTCAGCTTAGATTGAAAGACTGTAAGCCCATTTCTGAAAGCCTTTCCAAGATACATAAACGGCAGAAGAAGAAAAAACAGACGGGAAAGATCCGGTCTGGTTGTTTTTTCTACTGTTTATTTATCATTCTTTGGTTAGGCCTTTCCTCATCATCTTGAGACATCTGTCATTACAAAAAGGGTTTCAGTCATGATTAGCGTGGTAGCGTCTGTTTTTGCATCCCATTGACACTGACTGAACGTGGGCATATTGTGATGGCGCGCTCAGGATAAACACATTGAAGATGCACTCAGCTCCCATGATTCCCAGTACAGTGACGTCTCCAGCAGTCGTTCCCTGTGCACTGCTGAGGCCCCTTCACTCCTGACTGCGTCTCCGAGGGTATTGTTATGGGAATCCTCTGTGATTAGATTATTGTGTGCTCTCTCACTTCTCCTCTCTCCACCCGTTCCCTCAGTCTCTCTCTTCAGAGTCGGACTCTGTGCATGTATATATATTTCATGAATGTTGGTAGGGAGTGTAAGAATCGATCTCGCTCATTATTCTGAAAGTGCTGTTTTTATTATTTAATATTTATCTATTCTCATTTTTTGGCGGCTGTTTTTGCAGGTTGCGAGAGAAGCCTGATGTTGCATTTGTGATATGCTCTGCCCGGCGTGAGATCCAGAAAGCCTGCCTCCTCCTCCTCTTCTTCATCATCATCTCCTCCTTCGGTGGTCGTTCTGTATCCGGACAGCCCTGGTTTCATTCAGAGTGGAGGCGACTGAGACGGTGGACTGTTTTATGGCACTTCTTTGAAGAGATTGAGCAAGTGAGGAGAGCGTGAGGAGAGAACAACCGGAGCAGTCGCAGTAGCTGAGTGTTGCCGATGCTTATGGCGGCAGAGCAGGATTAACGCATCGGCTTACTTTCAGTTCTGTTGTTGATCGTTCTTGCATCCAGTCAGAGATGGGCATGCTGGGGTGCGGCGTATTCGTGTTTGCGCTCTTCTTTCAGTGCCACAGTACCCAAAGCCCCATGTACAGGTTCAAGAGGTGAGGCAATTCATTTCCTTTAAATCGGCATGAAACGAATGTTTTCGAAATGCATGTTATTGTGAACATTTCATCCACGCATGTTTCATTTTTTCATGTTTTGACCTTGTAACGTTTCATCAAAATGTCATCTTCCGGTGTAAACGCCTGACTCGTCTCTGGTGACGCGTGTAAGGCTTCACCAATGGTCTAGTGCGCTTAAACCCCGCCCCCTCCACAGTCGACCGCAAGCTCACACTCAGCTTTTACTGCCACACCCACATCTCAACATCCAAACGACAACTGATGAGTCCCCGCCATGCATGTTTTCTGTTCCAATAATCTGTCACTTGGATGTATGTCACAATGAAATCGATAAGTGTTGTTTATTTTAGTAAATTAACATCTAAACTCAAAATAGTAATAGCAACCACATAGCAAAGCACATTCACGTTGTTGTTGTTGTTGTTGACAGGTTTCAGGAACATGCCTGGTCAGAGCCCAATGACTGCTCGAGGACCAGGCAGCCTTTTGTCCTGTCCAATCCCTACAACTTTTCACTCGATATTCGCATACCGGGAGTAATTCCAACAGAGGTAAGAGTTTCTGTACATCATCTTTGTTGTTTGCACATTTCTTTAAAGGTCATGAAACCTACTGTTTCATCTCTGGTTAGTTCTCACCACAGTTTTTAAAAATGCTAAAAGTGGAGTGGAGGGGGGAGGGGGGAGACCGACAACACAGCGGCTTCTGATCAAGGCAGATACATATATATATATTACTCTGTCATTGAGTTCAAGCTTACCACAAAAAACGCTGCAGTTCACCATTGCATGAATCAAAATTAGCAGATATATTATGATTTTGTAAGCTCATTGTGTACACAATACACAAATACACACACATCCCGTGAAAGCTGTAATTTAATGCACAAATAAATCCACAGCCATTCGCATTTGTGCTCTGTATCAAACATATATATTCACGCCGTTGCATTTTGAAGCATCTGTCATAGGAAAGCCTGAATAATTAAAAGAAGTGTCTTTTTATAAGATAAGGACACATAGTCTCATGAATAATTATGACACACCGATGAGTCATAGATGTACAGTAGGCCCTGTTTACACCTGGTATTAAGATTTGGTCGATCTGATCACAAGTAGATGCCTCTAAACTGGATCTACAACATTTTGAAGTTGTCCGCTCTAGACTGCCTACTGACCTTCTGTGTAAACATCATGGGAAGCTCACTAGCCAGAGGGGATTTAGCCCTTAACTTTGTCGACTGAAGACCCAAGTTTGGTTTGAAGACGAAAAATGTACCAAGCACAATGTTCTCTCACCATTCCTGATTTCTAACACACACTCCCAGCGTTTGGCGTGATCTAGCGGTTATCAGAGCAGAAACTAAAGCTGATGCTCTCCGTGTGTGTGTCCGTCGTCTCCGGTCGCGGTCATATATTTTCATATTATGTTAATTGCGCAAGCTTATTTTGTTAATTAAATCGAATGTTTTGACGATTTAAGTGCCATAGGCATATTTAAGATTTTAAATCCAGAAGACCAAAATAGTGCAAAAAAGCATAAAATTAACAATTTCCCCCTAAAAAGCAGACAAGTATTGTCCCTAATGGCCTCCAGATGATTCATTATCTCTTGGTACTAACAGTTTTTCTGCATGGCTAGGACTGTGTCTCCTCACACTCTGTAATGAATAGAGCTGTACTCGTTGCTGCAGATTTAAGCTACGTTTTTTTCGTATGTCTGATGGTGCTGAGTGAACTGAATCTGGAGAAAGAGAGGATTTGTCTAAATAAAGATCATATTACAGTGTTACAAGCAAGCCTACCTCAAAATGGTTGAAAAACAAGAAAATGAAAGCTTTGGAATGGCCTATAAAGTTGTATGTATATATACATACATATTCATATTATTTTTTTATATATATAAAATAATGAATCTAATTAATGCAGCTTGTATAATACTATGCATACAAACGTACAGTTTATGCAGTAGCAGTATTTATAATATAGTTCACCTGAATCTGGTTCCACAATTGGAAAAAATATGCATTATGTAAATATAAACTTTTTAACATTACTATACTATATAGTTGTAAATAAGAATTCTTTGACATTCTTTACATTTTTAATCCAGTGTTATATGAAATAACACTCAGCTTTTGATCATTTAGTTAATAAAACTTGATGTAATGAAGTTATGTGATGCCAATTATTGCATGTTGTGTTAAATGGTATTAGTATATATTTTGCAATAAGCTATATGGTTGTAAGGCCAGATGATGACTCTTCCTAAAATTCATTTGAGACACACACTGTAGATATTGCTTAAAATTCAATTGGAAATGACTATATGACATTTCCTTAATGATATTTACTATGACAGCATCACCCAGAATGCATTTTGTATACATGGCCAGCAATGAATCTGTGTATGTTTGATAGAAACTGTCTTATACGTGTTTGTTTGTTTGTTAACAGTCTGACAGCTACTTCTGTATGGCTGTCCCTGTCCCCACGTCCCGGGAGGCCTACATAGGTGAGTAGATGACCAACATGAATTGTCTACAAATAGACCAGACTTGAGACTGAACAAGGACGTTATGAGTTCTTAAGTACACAACGAATGAAACCTGCCTCCATTATTTTTATAGGAGTGCATGTGCACTGTCATGTTTGGACAAGGAGTGGATATGAATATCCAACCTGCATATCATAAGCTTGAACGTTATTTGTTATCTGTGATCTCGATGACGAAATGAATGTTTAATCTGGTCAGGCTTTAAAGGTATAATCTTGTTCAGTCTCTCCAGTGTAATGTTCAGATGAGACTCCCTGAGTCTCCGTGTCCTGCTGTGTGCTTAAGCAGATCTTTACACAAGTCATCCGGGCCAGTAAATCCCATGATACTGAGTAATGGCAGGCTGTTTGTGTTCGCCAGCACAGTTCAACCTCAACACTCACTGCCAGTAAAATAAGTGCATGTTGGAGACCTTTGGTCCTCTTGTACAGTTGATCATTTACTGTATGGGTGGTGATGGTTTATTCAGGTTTTAGAGACTTTCTGATATTCTTTTGTATATTCTTTATCTGAATACTTTTGTAATATATTAATAATTGTAGCAGGGGAAGCGATGTACCGATTAAACCAGTATAAATTTGTCAGCCAGTATAAGACTTTCATTAGTGTTACTATCGCCAGTCTTTCCTGCAGTTCTGAATCTCCATCACTATGGCAAATGTATATTTTACCCGAGTAAAATGAATATGAGATTGCAGTCTGTAATGAATGTGATGAGATAACAAGACAACGGACGTCTATCTATAAAACTGTCCTGTCCATGCGAGCTGCAAGCTAAAACACACACACACAGCGAAAGAGGTGTAATCTGAGTGACTGAAAATGGCTCATTTAAGTACATATGAAAGCGCTATATAAATGCCTCATTCATTCATTCATTTGATGAATCATTCAGAAAGACTAAAAAAATCAGGAGTTACTGGTTTGAATTAGGGATGTATGGAAGTAAAATAATCCCAAATGTTTTTGAAACAAAAAGCCTGTTGAATTGTACTACTTGAAAAAAATATGCATTGCATTAACCCTGCTTGTATTTTAATGCATTGTATTTTAAGGGCTTGCATTTTTATAGGCTGAAATATAGCATGGTTGAATATTTAAGCTGTGAATATTTCAAATCAAAACATTTCAAACACATTTTCATTAGTAAAATTTCAATAATCCATATTCACCTTTCATATTTCATTTCCCAAATATTCAAACTGATTAAAAATACAACCTATAATATTCAACAGGCGGTTTTCGGTCCATTTTATTTCGCTTTGCAAATTCGCTTCCACAAATTCAGTGGTTCAAATTCGACAGTAAATTCAACGTTGACATCCAGGAGCTGCAGGAAAAGCAGTAGATTACCGAGCATAATCTCCATCTGCTGTTAGTCGACCACACCAGCAGGGGGTGCAAGCGCGTGTTGTTGACGAAGACCAGAGCAACAGTTAGTGCAAGCCATTCATTCATAAAAACTCAGCATGCATTACGTTTTTTGTGACGATTATCTGGGTCAGTATATATGATGAAAAGATGATAAAGGCACAAAAGCTGTTTTTATGTTTCATTCATTGTTACTTTCCCTGTGTAGCCTTATGTTATCAGCCTTTTCAACAGTGAACGGGATTATAGTCGGTTTCCCTCAATACATCATCATACTCAAAGATTCCCCGAATTCCGTCAGGACAAAGCGCTTAACGTAGCTTAATGGACTACAGTGATATAAAAGACCAAACTCGCACCTTATTTGGAAAGTATGTATTGTACATGTACTGCATTAGATTAAACTGGGAAGTAGCACTTTCATATTGTTGTTCTATATTGTTAGTTTAACTAGTCGCTTTGGATAAAAGTGCCAGCTAAAAGACTAAATGTAAAATTGGGTTGACATTCGCACATTTAGGGACCGTCTCTAAAGTAACAAGTCCTATAGGCCTAAACGTTTCTAACTTCAATAGCAAACTTCAATCTATTTGAATAAATTGCGCATTATGCCTGAGCCTGACACCTACATGAACACTTTACAGTTGGTTTTATGACTGTAAGTCGTTCTTTTCAAATGGTATTTAAGTTAGAAACGTGTATACCAATTTCGTATGTAACTTTAGAGACGGTCCCTAAATGTGCGAATGTCCAATGTCAAACCAAATTTATGCCAGTATATCACTGGGAAACGCTCAGCATTAAATTCATATTCTGAGTCCATCTGCTAGCCTGCGAGTTTGGTCTTTTATGTCCATTAAGCTACGTTAAGCGTTTTATATGTCCAGCAGGGGAATCCTGACATATTGATGGAAACCAACCCCTAGTACTGCAGCACATCACTGCAATATAAGGTTAAGGCAACTAAACAACCAAGAGAAATATGTCAAATGTAACACTGGATCTGTACATCCGCGTCGGGGGAAGTAATACACAGGAAAAGTAATCGTGAACACACTGAATTTCACATAAAACAGACGTCATAATAATCACAAATACACTTACATTTTTGTAAATAAGTTTTTATGAATGAATGGCTTGCACTAACTGTTGCTCTGGTCTTCGTCAACAACACGCGCTTGCACCCCCTGCTGGTGTGGTCGACTAACAGCAGATGGAGATTATGCTCGGTAATCTACTGCTTTTCCTGCAGCTCCTGGATGTCAACGTTGAATTTACTGTCGAATTTGAACCACTGAATTTGTGGAAGCGAATTTGCAAAGCGAAATAAAATGGACCGAAAACCGCCTGTTGAATATTATAGGTTGTATTTTTAATCAGTTTGAATATTTGGGATATGAAATATGAAAGGTGAATATGGATTATTGAAATTTTACTAATGAAAATGTGTTTGAAATGTTTTGATTTGAAATATTCACAGCTTAAATATTCAACCATGCTATATTTCAGCCTATAAAAATGCAAGCCCTTAAAATACAATGCATTAAAATACAAGCAGGGTTAATGCAATGCATCTTTTTTTCAAGTAGTACAATTCAACAGGCTTTTTGTTTCAAAAACATTTGGGATTATTTTACTTCCATAGGATGCACAATAAATCGGCCACCATATCGGTTTTGGCCGATATATGATCATTTTTTATATTATCATTATCGACCCGATAAGAAAATTTGTCCAAAATATTAAAGCCGATAAATAATGTATTGTTTGTTTCCTTCAGCTGAGACACTTCAGATGCGCACTGTTCAACATGATGGGTTTGATTTGCCTGAAATATGATTGAAATCACTTTGAAAAAGGAAAATACAGTAAAGTGCAACATGTGCAGCGCAAGTCTGTCATATAGACTACATCAAATTATAAAAAGTGGACATTATAATTGTGTGCTTGGGATGGTGAGACTTTTGTTTTTGTACTCAGGCTCTCAAAAATGTGGATTTAGATTTATTGGCCAATATATTGGTTATCGGCTTTCAAATATAAGGAATTATCGGTTATCGGCCAAAATGTTCACATCGGTCCATCCCTAGTTTAAATAAATCAGACGAATCATTCAGTGAATGAACTCATTGAATCAGTCCGAGCCGTTACTGAATCAACATCTCACTTATTAAACTGTGTCATTACATTCAACCATATCCATCTTGCAATGAAGCAAGTTGAGGGATCGCGAACGTTAATTTATTGTAACTGTTGACTGGTTGTGTGGAACTGACTTGTTTTGAATCTGTAATCTGTGTTCATTATTGTGTTGTTGCATTGTGGTGGTCTACAGGGAAAGCAGGTCCACCCAGACTTCTGAGAGATACATTATGTCTGTCTTGCTATCGCCATCAATCAAACATCCCATCAATTATTCATAACCACAGTAGAGAGAGAGAGGCCTTTCCTGAAGATATCCATCACTTTTAGGACAGCATATTGATGTTCACTGTGGTTTATGCCAGCAAGCAAACAGCATTCACCCTTTCTAACGCTTCACAGAGGTTTCCTGCAAACCTGTGCTGTTTAAAAGATGATTTGTTTTGAAGTTGTAAATAAAACAAAGATTATTGGAAAATTTCACTTCAAAATTTCATGCTTAATTCATTGTGTTACTTGCCATTTCTTTGTAATTATTTGTGAAATGCACCAGCGATTTCTGAGTAAACAGTTTTCCAATAATTTGATATAGCTTGTGCCAGCTTTGCGAGTGAGACCTCTTTAAAGAGAGCTGACTTTACAGTAGTTTGTGTGCAGAAATGCTCTGACGCTGATTTATCAAGATACATTTGATTGTCTTTCAAGATGCTCACCTTTCCATCTTCATTACTGACTTAAAAAACCTTTCTCTCCTCAGTGGACTTTGTTCCTCATGCCAGTATGGACACAGCCCACCACATGATTTTATACGGCTGCAAAACCCCTTATGCCACTCAAGGATACTGGTGAGTGACCTCAGAGTGTCTCTGCTGGTTAATGGGGAAGTGTGTGTGTGATTTTATTTCTGTGATGTTACCATTACTTGATTTTGCCCCAGTTTAATTTGCAGACACGATTGTTAGTGGCACTATAATAACATTGTCAAGCTGGTTGGGATGCTCAAACAAAAACTGCATACATGCTGTATCACTACCGTTGAAATGTTTATTTTTTTTATTATTTTTTAAGAAATGAATACTTTTATTCAGCAAGGACACATTAAATGGACTTTTACATGGACTTTTACATGGACTTTTACATTGATACAGAATGTAAAGTTGGACTTTTACATTGATACAGAATTTTCTACAAATAAATGCTGAGCTTTCTATACATCAAATCATTTATTTTCAAATATATTCAAATCTTGGCGAGCTCATGCATATTTAAATTCTGTTAAATAACGTCAACAATGGCAGAAACGGTCTCAGTTGTTTCCTGGTAAAAACACTGAACTCCTCTCACTGTTTTAAGTACATAGCCAATACTGTAAATAATCCACTGACTGCCGAGTTCCTGAAGACTGTAAACAGTGTGGCCTTGTGGGACTTCCAGAACATCGATCTCTCTGTTTGAGCGTTTGACATGTTGACCTCTGATTCAAACTGAAGTGAGTTTGCGGGCGGGATCACAGTTCCTGTTTGTCTGGGAACAAATGTGGGAGTGTTTGGGAAACAATTCATATTCTTGCTTTTCTGTTTGGAAACATTACCATGATAATGAGTGTCTGTTCCAGCACACCTATATTACAGCCTCACCTCAAATGCAAACTTAAAAGAAGTGAATTCTTTTAGTGAACTAGTCATACGGTTTTGAAAACAAGTCATTAAATCTCAAATCTCAGCTGTCCTCTGGCCTGTAATGTCACACCTCTGCATTATTACCAAGATTAAACTGAATTCTTTGGGTAATGTGTGCAACAACAGCACCTTCCTCATAGAAAAGTGATGAAACGGCCTGTTACCGTGGCAACCGTGTGCAGCTTGACGACAGCAGCATCTGAGAGATGACCTGAATGGGGGGGGGGGTGTCTTCAGTTTCTTCAGTTTCCATGGTCTGCGTGATAAATCATTCACTTTAAAATGTGTCAATACATATCACCTGATAAACAAAACTCAATACATGGCAACTCAAAATGTTTTTTTTTATGCATGCTTTGATAAAGCTAAAATATATTTGAAATATACCGCATCTCTGCCTCATTTGAACAACACTGGCTCGATTCCCCTGCCATCAGTTTTCCAGTAGCTTCTCTCTGGAACGTATAAAACATTCATCATGGAGATGCTGCGGGCGCTGCTCGTGCTGTTTGATGTGAGGCTTCTGGAGCTCAGCGTGGAAATAGGCTAATTAATATGCCAAACTGGCAAAAATACGTCATTTGAAGACAGCAAGAGTCATCTGCAGCCTCAGTGCTGTGGGACCATGGGTTGTTGGGTTGGGTCATGGGTCGTTTATGAGGGGAAGAATATTTGGATACACTATCATCTTGAAAACTAGTCAATAGAGTTTTTTACAAGGTGTATAAATCATCAGATCTGATTAGGGCTTCAACATAACTCAGGTTGGACTGAGTGTTGAAAATGTAGATAAAATTAAATAGCCACACCCACATTAAAATTACACACTTTAAACTTTAAGCTTTCAGACTTTTCGCTTTCGACCACATAGGACGGTATTGTACGTGTTTTTTTTTTTTTTTTTAAATAACATTTGTTTCTTTTCGAAGTAAAAAACAACCCATCTCCGTATACCACCCAGAGGATTATGGATGAAATGCATATCTTCATACGTCTCCAAATGTTAGATCTGATCTGTGCTAACTTATAGACATTTTTTATTTTATGAAATAATGAACACACACACACACACATACATATGTATATGCGTTCTTTATTTGTTAAAGGTGTAACACCTTAAAGGGATAGTCCACCCAAAAATGTAAATCCTGCCATCATTTACTCGCCCTCAAGTTGTTCCAACCCTGCATGAGTTTCTCTCTTCTGCTGAACACAAAAGAAGACATGTTGAAGAATATGGGTAACCAACAGACCCCACTGACTCCCACAGTATGGAAACAAAATACTAGTCAATGTTGTCCATCAACTGTTTGATTACCAACATCCTTCACAATATCTTCTTTTGTCTTCAGAAGAGAGAAACTCATGCAGGGTTGGAACAACTTGAGGGCGAGTAAATGATGACAGGATTTACATTTTTGGGTGGACTACCCCTTTAATAAGTAATGGATAATTTCCTATAATTTGTGCTGCTCGGTGGATTTGCCAATAAACACTATGGCTGAAAACATGCATCTGTATGTTTGATGATAGTTTTGTTTAAGCATATCAACCAGTCTGACATTATTGGCTCAACCAATGGCATTGGAATTTTCTCACATTTTTTTTTTTTTTCACTCAAATTTGTATTAATATAACACAATTCTAACTTTACCATTGTGAATGGATGTGTTAACTGAGTAATAATGCTAAGCTGGAGGATAATTTCTGACGTGTTGTTGTTGCTGTTTTGCTCAGGGATTGTGGGAGAGAGCTGGGCACCTGTCGGGATCAGGCCAAGATCATGTATGCCTGGGCCAGGAATGCTCCTCCAACCAAACTACCCAAAGGTGCTCCCCTTCCTCTTCACCGTTCCTCCTCTTCTCTCTGTCTCAAAGCAGCCAGTGTAACCTATACGTGATCGCGATGAGTAAATGCACTTATCTGAAACATAATCAAACCAACTCTGAAGTGTCATCTTATTTTGCAGACGTTGGCTTTAAAGTTGGGGGAGACACCAGAATTAACTACTTTGTGCTGCAAATTCATTATGGTGATGTCAACAATTTCAGAGGTAAACTCAGCAATACAGCAGATCCAGAGATAACGCAACAGCATTGTGAAATCAGCATGTTTTTATGTTTTCATCCACCACACTTGACATGCTGTTACTAGTTACTATGATAAGTTAAAAGAATAGTACACTGGAAAATACATTTTATTTACTTCTCTCTCCTCTCATTTTGACAACTCTCTGTATGCACCCAGAGGCCTGTCAATCACTGCTAGTCCTGCTGTTTAGGCAGTCCTGCCCATTGAAAGCTGTTGTATTGTGGCTGTGACGGTGATGAAAAGCAGCGTTTCTGTGTCTTGAGATGGGACTAATGTGTTCATCTCGTCTTGATTGTAGATCATCATAGAGACTGCTCAGGACTCACTTTAAGAATGACTTCCAAACCGTAAGTAATTGGCACCAGATTTTAACATAACTGTGACTTGTCATTCATAAGACATATTTGTTGCTCCCAAACATGAACATTTTGTCATTGTTTATTCACCTTCATGTTGTTCCTAACCTGTTTTTGAATTGAACTGCAAAATGAGATTTGAGATCTACATCAGAAAGGGAATTTTCCTTTTTGAGCTTGCGAATAAAATGAAATCACGTTTTTTTTGTATTCTTGTAATGTGCCAATAAATAGTTTGAGTTTAAATTTGAGCAGCTGCTAAATTCTCTATTAAAAGCTTGAAACACTGAGGAAAAAGCATCTATTCAAGCTTTCGGAGAGTCTGTGGGTTAGTTATAACTGTTTGGATAAGCAATTTTACAAAGAAAGATGCAAAAATATAGTAAAACATTGTTTCTCTATGGACTTTGTATAATGTTAATGAAATTATCATTTTAATGTGTTCTATATTTGGGGGATGGATAAATCGCAATACAGCCTAATGTGATTTGATTATTACATTTTAAAAAGCTATGATTACATTAAAAACTGTGCTTTAGACTGCATCAAAGTGGTTCACAATCAACGAATGGCGCACATTTATGCCAAGCGATTGCTTATGAACTCAGTTGATGAATTATGGAAATGTCTACTTTATGGTCTTTATATTGTAATATGTTTTAGACGGCTGTAAGAATGCATATTTTATCTCCCCCGTCTGAATTTGAAGGATCAGTCTGCAATAGGATAGACATTTCAAAATAAGAGTCCCTGTGTATTTCGGGCTTGTTTATAATTAAAAGTCACACAATATGTGTACGTTTTTTTTTTCCTCTGACCATTGGTATTTTGGTTACATAGTAAACTGTATTTAATTTAAGATAATTTCCATTTAATTCATATTAAACTATTGTAGTTTCTGGCTGGGTTGCTCTCCCACAGGAAGAAAAGAAGAAGAACATTATTTGATGCATATTATTCACTATAGATTTTACTAGTATCAAAGTTTATTATAATTTTCTAAAACTAAAACCATTTTTAAAAAAAGCAGCAACTACACTATTTTGGGCCTATGGCAGTTAGAAAGACAAAGACTACTAACTTTAGCTAAGGTAATCATACAAATTCTGTATGCATTTACTTTACTCAGCTGATATTTTAAGGAAACGAGGAAGGGAGAACAGATACACAGGTTACTTAGCCGACGTTAGCGTTTAGCCTGAAATGGCAATAAATAAATACAAAAGCCTTAATTATTATGTGTCTCACTTAATTTGACTTACAATAGCAGTCAACAATGAAACGAAACGCAGAGACAAAACTAAGATTGAAGCTTGTTAATCGTAAATCGACCTGAATCCAATAAACTTGTGAACACCCACTAAGACATCATTTGTGGTTGCACCTGTATCGAAATGAGCTTTGTTTTAAGCGGTGACTGATCTTCATCGGGTTAGACACTATATTAAAAAGTCAAATGTTAAGAAAGTGTTTTTAGGAATAAACCTGTAAAATATCTTGAGACTTGGTAACTGTTGAATAAAATTGACTCCAGACTGTAGAATTACTGGAAAAACAATGTCCTCCTTTGCATTGTGTCTGCATTACCTCCTCAGGTGTACATTATTTTTCAATTATTAAGTGTGCTGTCATCAGTTATTCCTTGCTTAATCATATAACTGTCACGTTAACTGAAATCCATGGATGTTGTGTCCTCTATGCAGACAGCCCTTTATTGCTGGCATTTACCTGATGATGTCTTTGGACACTGTCATTCCTCCAGGGAAGAAAGGTATTCCAACTTTGTGACAGTTTCAACTATTTTCCAGTTTGGCACTAATAAGCTTATAGACAATCTGGGGTTGTGAAAGGCTTCTCAGCTTTAGCTCGAGTGTTGTGATCAGTTTATCAATGCTTGTGTCACCTTATAAACGTATGTTATGTTATTTTTGACGTCTGATGTTTTTGGTGTTGGCAGTTACCAATGCAGACATCGCTTGCACTTACACGTCTTTCCCGATGTATCCGTTTGCCTTCAGGACACACACACACAGCCTTGGTGAGATATTGCATTTATTTGTTATGTCTACTAAATTCATTGCGAATTCTCCTTTTACTTTTCATGGTAATGGAAACCATGTTGCATGTGTTGTGCTTCAGGTAAAGTTGTGAGTGGGTACAGGGTTCGAGATGGACAGTGGACTCAGATCGGGCGCCAGTCTCCACTGTTGCCACAGGTATGTTTAACAAGTCCTCTCTGCTTGGTCGAGCATGATGGGTTACTATGTGGCACCTAGAGAGGGAAGGTAATGCGTCATGTTTCACTGATAAGGGTTGTCAGTCATGTCATTGTGAATCATATGCTCCTCATACGTTTTTTGTTTTTTTGAGTCTGCAGATTTGCTTGTTAAAGGTATAGTTCGGCCAAAATGTATATTCTGTACTCAGACTTTCGGTTATCTTCGAAACACAAATGAAGATACGGTTGTGGTCAGAATTATTGGCACCCCTGGTAAATCTGATCAAAGATGGCTGTAAAAATAAATCTGCATTGTTTATCCTTTTGATCTTGCATAGGGATGTCCCGAAACCACCTTTTCACTTCTGATACCGATGCCGCAGCTTTGGCTATTTGCCGATACCGATATCAATCCGATATTTTTACTTTATTCTTGAACTAATACTAATAATCTTAACCTGTATTATGACATTTGACGAATTGCTTTGTTTCTTTTTTGGATAAAAATGTAGGCTAATAATAATAATAATGACAATTATTATTTGCGTTTATAATAATACATGAGTTGTCTTAAGACAGTAATATGTTTATCATGATATGTTTTATTTTTATATAACCTAACATTTTACAGTTTTTGAAATGTTTTTGTTTTAGGCTATATTTCTTTTTTATATGTGAAGTCTTTTTTTGCTTATTATATTATACTGAGCTTTTTCCTCCCAAAAAAATGGACTTATTGAAATTATCCATTTTGAACTGATCCGAAACCAGCCCAATTTTTATCCACCCGCCCCAAAGCCATTTTTGCCCGCAAAATATATTGCAAAACCGCCCAATCTGGCAACCTAACTTACTGTTATCACATGGCAGGCTGCACCGCTTGACTGGATGTCGCAGCAAGGGAAAGGCTAATATTCAAGCATTTAGGCGATGGTTTAAGCTAGATTTTCCCATGGCTTGTGTTGGATGGGTATCGGAGCTTTTTTTTTTCTCCCCTCCGATCTCCGATCTAGCGTTCTGGGCCAGTATCGGCACGATACCGATGACGTGGATCGCATCGGGACATCCCTAATCTTACATTTTAAAAAAATCATTTACTTTCATTAAAGTAAAATTATTGAAAGTGGGACGTAAATTAAATAAATGCTTTTCTCCAAAACACATTGGCCATAATTATTGGCACCCTTTTCTTAAATACTTTTTGCAACCTCCTTTTAACAAGATAACAGCTCTGAGGCTTCTCCTATAATGCCGGATGAGTTTGGAGAACACCTGACCCGAGATCAGAGACCGTTCCTCCATACAGACTCTCTCCAGATCCTTCAGACTCCCAGATCCATGTTGGCGCTTCTCCTCTTCAGTTCAGCCGCTCATCTTCTATAGGGTTCAGGTCAGGATGGGACGGTCATGGCAGAAGCGTAATTTTGTGCTCAGTGACACATTTTTGGGTTGATTTTGATGTTTGTTTCGGATCGTTGTCCTGATGGAAGATCCAACCACGGCCCATTATAAGATTTCTAGCAGAGGCCGTCAGGTTTTTAATATTTTTTCATCTGTTGGTGGTATTTGCTAGAATCCATGATACCATGTATCTGAACAAGATGTCCAGGACCTCCAGCAAACAAATAGGCCCTCAACATTAAAGCTCCAGCAGTGTGTTTAACCGTGGGCACGGGGTACTTTTAATCCCCTCTGGTGTGTTTGCAGCCAAAAAGCTCTTTTCTTAGTTTCATCTGACCAACTGAAACCAGTCCCGTTTAAAGGCCCAGTCGTGTCTGACAACTGCATATGCTGGAGTTTGTTCTTGGATGAGCGCAGAGGATGTTTCTTGAAACCCTCCCATGTGGTGATGTAGGGGTTGTTTGATTATTTTTAGGCTTTCTGACCCCAAGACTCCACTAATCTCTGCAGTTCTCCATCTGGGATCCTTGGAGGGTCTTTGGCCACTCAAACTTGGCCGTGATATAGACACCGGTCCTCTTCCAGGCAGATTCGTGACATCTTTAGTTGATTGGAACTTCTTAATTATTGCCCTGATGGTGGAAATGGGAATTTTCAATGCTTTAGCTGTTATTTTGCAACAATCTTAGCAACAATATTTTGCTGCGCATCAGAACTATATTCTGTGGTTTTCCTCATTGTGATGGATGATCCAGGGAATTTGGCCTTTGTGTTTCCTCATATTTATACTCCTGTGAAACAAGAAGTCATAGCTGGTAAATTTCATGTTCCCATTCACCCTGGTGTGCAATTTTTTATTTATTTTTTTATATTAATGGGAATATACTTTATATTTTACTCATACGATTTTCTAGGGATGCCAGTAATTCTGACCACAACTGTATTTCTGGTCAAGCACATTTGAGCTTCTGTTTACCATATAATGTGTGCTGACCAATGTTTATTTGAGAATAAAAGCCTAAATTAAATCTGTCCGTCAAGCGATCGTGTCTCTTAAAGCTGCAGTCCGTAGCTTTTCCTCTTTGTCGCCATCTCTCTGTTCGAAACCTGTAACTGCAGTGATTCGCGGAATTATCATCTTTACGTGGGTTGTAAATCGGCATGAAACAGCGCGGATGAACACAGTGCTTTGAGGCGAGTGCTGCTGTCAGTCACCGCGCTGTGTGGATACTGGCATACAGAATCACTGATTCACTTTTTGAAAGTTTGACCAACATAAGAATTTTCATAAGTAAATGTCTTCTGAACAAGTAAGTAACATCCATTTTTGTTCTGACCAACTAAGGGGGGAAAAGCATTCGACATGATAAGCTTCGTTAGATTTAATCAACGCGATTTACAGCAACCGTGCAAATTATAGCCTACTTTGTTCTCAAATTGTTCATGTTAACAACATCAGCATTGCGTGACTAATGTTAAATTTAATGTGTTTTATGGTTACCTGTGTAGTTCAGAATTCATATTCTCTATAATAGCAAAACGAGAAAGGCACAACAAAGGAAACTCCATAACTGTGTGAATTAAGAAAACGTACGGCTACACGATTGAACTATTGAAATGTCTTACTTGTTCAGCAGAAAAAGGCCGTCTCTTCTTCCGTTTCGAACCCCTTCAAAACACGGAGTTCACGCACGCACCAAACGCCCTGCCTATGTTCCTTGTGTTCGCATGAGACGGTTTCTTTCTCTTTCTCTAGCCACCTTAAATCCGAAGTACGAAGTCTTTTGTGTTTTATAACTGCTGAATCTCCAGTTGACACTGATGATTGTTGTTTGGATCTTTCTGGATGCCATAAGTTTAATCATGTAAAGTGCTGCGAGAAAAGCCTATACATCTAAACATCTCGTCACGCGCAGTATAGCCGGCTAGCCGAAACTCCTTCTTTATGTGTACGGGTGTGACGTCATGACGCAAAGACATGCTCGAATTTCCCGCGGAAACCCACCAGTACCACTGGAATTAAAATCATTATTACAAGCTAACCGTTTTGAATCTAGCTATGGCATGCAGAGAGTTTTGACCACTGGCAGAATAAGTTTTTTTTAATATAATTATTTTGGATTATTTTTAACTTAAAAAAGCTACGGACTGCAGCTTTAAGAAGCCTTGGATTATGTTTACAGTTTATTGTAAAACTTTTTGAGGCTTTTTTTTGGTGTGAATGACTTTCATTTGAAGAGACCGAAATCTCTCAGCTTTCATTAAAGAATATCTTGTGGGTTTTTTGACCGAAGTGAGGGTGAATGAATGATGACAGGATTTTCATTTTTGGCTGAACTAACTCTTTCATTTTATTTCTCCTCCCCGAACTTAAACTTTAGGCTTTTTATCCAGCCACCAATACCATTGACGTAAAAAATGGAGACATACTAGCAGCCCGATGTATGTTCACAGGAGAAGGAAGAACCACTAATACCGAAATCGGGTAAGTTCTTGCCGACTAACTTTTGTTGTTGTTTTATTTAGACTCACTGCTTTGTAAAACTTAATAACATTGTTTAAAAATGTATAATTGACGCCAGATTTTCAGTAAGAGTTTTCACCTTTTATTTTTCATTCCTATGTAGAGTTACAGTGGCAGTAAGTGTGCTAGATGAGTGATGACGGTGTGCATGTGGTGACGTTTCCACCGTCTTCCTTTCACTGTGTTTGCATGGTGTTGATTCCTGTCGCTGTGTCTCTGACCACCTGTCTTACTACTGTACGTCCATCTGACAAAGTGACACATGGTGCGACAGGTGGTGTATGTGTGTGTGTGTCTGAGTGATGAAACACACTGCATAGGTCAGCTCGTCGAAGTGTGTGTGTGTGTGTGTTTCATCATATCCCGATTGAGCGTGACTCCTCGGACGTGTGTTTGCCTGTGCCCTGCCATTCCTGTTACCATGGTGACAGAGCGAGCACACAATAGTGCCCTGACGCATCTCCCGGGAAGCCCACACACCCGACTCAAGGCCACACGATAAGATGATTGTTGACTTAAAGTCTGGTCTTTGTCAACTGCCCGCTTTGGCCAGAAACATGAGCACACAAGCACACAGACATGAATACATTACAGGCCTCATTATACATACAATTCTGTGAAAAAGTATGTGCACCCCATGAGAAGTGTAATTAGGAGTCCAAGCACCAACAATATTATTAAACCTGTTTAATTATAGAACCTTGTTATGGTAGAAATAATAAGTTGTGTCTTGTTTAATTTAGTGTTATATTATTCAACAAAATATCAGATTTCACTAAACTTGATGTAATTCTGAGGTGCAGTGTAAAATTCGGTGTAGATCTGACAGTCGTGGTGCGATAATTGTGGGAAACATCAGAAATGCATTAGTCTTAGTCTTGAAGTTGGCTTGAAATGAAAGTTGTGTCCTTTACTTGTGTATATGGAAGAATTTCTGAGTGAAATGGCTTATCGAGCTGGCAAAAGAAATAGGGCAGGGCTTAATTGTATCCATTGGTTGTTGACAGGATTGTGAAAAGTAAGAGTTGCAGAATGTGAATTGCTGAACTGCGTGATGACATTTTGATTAAAGATTAAGAAATAATATATATAAAAAGGTCAAAGGTTTGGAAACTATTATTTTTAATGTTTTTGAAAGAAATCTCTTCTGCTCAAGGCTGCATTTATTTGATCAAAAATACAGAAAAAATGATAATATTGTGAAATATTATTACAATTTAAAATAATGGTTTTCTATTTTAATATACTTTAAAGTGTAATGTATTCCTGTGATCAAAGCTGAGTTTTCAGCATCATTACTCCAGTCTTCAATGTCACACGATCCTTCAGAAATCACTCTGATATGATGATTTATTATTTGTGCTTCTTAAAAATTTTTTGGAACATGTGATACTTTTGTCAAGATTCAATGATAAACAAAAATGTAAAAAGAACAGCATTTATTCAAAATAGAAATCTTTTCTAACAATCTTAACTATCACCTTTTATGTAAATTTATAACACATCACACATCCTTGCTAAATAAAAGTATTAATTTCTTTCAAAAAAAAAAACTTACTGACCCCAAACTTTTGAACTGTAGTGTATATTGTTACAAAAAAAATCTATTTGAAATAAATGCTGTTTTAAAAAAAAACTTTTTAATAAGGATTTTTTTCTTTAAGTATCACAGGTTATAAAAAAATATTAAGCAGCACAACTGTTTCCTATATATATATATATATATATATATATATATATATATATATATATATATACACACACACTATAATGGCCATAACAATTGACTTTTTTCTGTATTTAGGAGTGCATCTGAAAACAAAGGCTAAAATATACAGCTGTGATATCCCGTTAAAGTTGCACTATGCAGGATTTTCCCAAAAAAAGAAAGTATAGAGTCATACAAACATAATCCCTCTCAATCGTGACTTGTGATGCGGTGGCAGTGTGTGGTGGTGTTTGTGTCATCAGAGACGCTGTCCTCTGCCTGTGTTTTGTTTTGCTGTGCTCAGGGTGTTTGGCCAGTGGGTGTGACGTCTGTGTCTGAAGCTCTGCTAAGTTCTCGACACAAACCAATTCCATAATGTTGCTATTCCCCTATTGAAAGCACTCTTTAACACGTCAGATTACTAGGTTCTTATCGAGGGCTTGGAGCCAGAGGGGCGTAAGTGGCTTTTGACCAACTTTACAGGAGAGACAAAACAAAATTTTGACCACACTTCAATCACCTGTATCATTAACCTTAAACCACAAACATTGCAACCACAGGCATACTTACATGAATGAGTATTTAAGTAAAAAATGTATGGCATATTAACACAATGAACATGTTCTAAAACATTTTAAAATAAAAAAATATGTCAAAAACGTCAGATACGCCTTTTTGGCACCAAACATTTCCAAGTCTTCTATGGACATATTGGGCGTATCTGCTAAACAATGCAGAAAATAATTGATCAAAAGGGGAATTGATTGAATAATTAACACTTGAATCACACTTGAACAAGTAATTATTTTTCATTTAACTCATTCATTATTATTTTTTTATATATTTTTTTTCACCTTTCCATTCTGGGCATCTGCTGAACACTACAGACTGTAATTAAAGTCACTGAACTTGCTAAACACACTTCTGATTGGCAATTCATGAGTTGTTCAATTGATTTCATTACAATTCTTTTTTTTTCAATACTCTATTCAATTGACAGTTCTCTCGTGTTCTTTTTGCTTTTTAGTTCTTTTCCCTCACCTTCCTTCCTGGAACATGAATGCCATGTGAATTAATGTAGCCTTGGCCAGAATTTCTTAACCTTTTACGTTGGTTTCTTTTCCAATTTTCAACATCTCTCTGTCTTTTTCTTCCTTTTTGTGGTGTGTTGGCATCCTCTTCCTCCCTCCTAAACAGGCTCAATGTCTACTGTCTCAGTCCCTCGATCTTCTTCTGTCTCCATGTGTCCCTCATCAATTGCATGATCTGTGTCCCTGCCTGTCTCTCTTTCCCCATCTTCTGCTGTCTACATGTGTCCCTCATCTCTCTCCCTCATCTCATGCTGTGTCCCTAAATTATATAATTAAAATGTATTAATATCCTACATGAATGCCCTGATACTAATAATTCGGGGTAAGGATTAGATAAGGTAATGTTCTAACTGATTTTCTATGCAAGTCAGAACTCACTTCCTCCATCTGTCTCCATGTGTCCCTCAAGTTGATCTCTCTTCCTCACCTCATGTGGCTGTGTCCTTTAATGATTAACACATTAATATTTATTAATATAATATCCTACATGAGTGCCCTGAATCTATTAGTTCAAGGCTAGGGTAAAGTAGATTATGAGAAAGTTCAAAAGAATATTCTCTGTCAGAACACAGGCACAGTTAGCCAGATCAGACCAAACCAATGGGATTAACGTTAGCCATGCTAGGCTAGGCTAACAAGGTAAGGCTCTCAAGGCATGATTATGTCTTACTGTCATCACTCTTGTGAGAAAATGCATTCAAACAACTCTGACTCATCTTCAACTTCTTCAATATACACTCACCTAAAGGATTATTAGGAACACCATCCTAATACTGTATTTGACCCCCTTTCGCCTTCAGAACTGCCTTAATTCTACGTGGCATTGATTCAACATGGTGCTGAAAGCATTCTTTAGAAATGTTGGTCCATATTGATAGGAAAGCATCTTGCAGTTGATGGAGATTTGTGGGATGCACATCCAGGGCACGAAGCTCCCGTTTCACCACATCCCAAAGATGCTCTATTGGAGATCTGGTGACTGTGGGGGCCATTTTAGTACAGTGAACTCATTGTCATGTTCAAGAAACTAATTTGAAATGATTCGAGCTTTGTGACATGGTGCATTATCCTGCTGGAAGTAGCCATCAGAGGATGGGTACATGGTGGCCATAAAGGGATGGACATGGTCAGAAACAATGCTCAGGTAGGCCGTGACATTTAAACGATGCCCAATTGGCACTAAGGGGCCTAAAGTGTGCCAAGAAAACATCCCCCACACCATTACACCACCACCACCAGCCTGCACAGTGGTAACAAGGCATGATGGATCCATGTTCTCATTCTGTTTACGCCAAATTCTGACTCTACAATCTGAATGTCTCAACAGAAATCGAGACTCATCAGACCAGGCAACATTTTTCCAGTCTTCAACTGTCCAATTTTGGTGAGATCTTGCAAATTGTAGCCTCTTTTTCCTATTTGTAGTGGAGATGAGTGGTACCCGGTGGGGTCTTCTGCTAGCCCATCCGCCTCAAGGTTGTGCGTGTTGTGGCTTCACAAATGCTTTGCTGCATACCTCGGTTGTAACAAGTGGTTATTTCAGTCAAAGTTGCTCTTCTATCAGCTTGAATCAGTCGGCCCATTCTCCTCTGACCTCTAGCATCAACAAGGCATTTTCGCCCACAGGACTGCCGCATACTGGATGCTTTTTCCCTTTTCACACCATTCTTTGTAAACCCTAGAAATGGTTGTGCGTGAAAATCCCAGTTACTGAGCAGATTGTGAAATACTCAGACCGGCCCGTCTGGCACCAACAACCATGCCACGCTCAAAATTGCTTAAATCACCTTTCTTTCCCATTCTGACATTCAGTTTGGAGTTCAGGAGATTGTCTTGACCAGGACCACACCCCTAAATGCATTGAAGCAACTGCCATGTAATTGGTTGATTAGATAATTGCATTAATGAGAAATTGAACAGGTGTTCCTAATAATCCTTTAGGTGAGTGTAGGATTCATCAGTTTGTTTCATAATATTCATCAAAATCGTTTCTGCCTCAGACAGTTCCATGTCTGCAGTTGTGTCAGCCATTTTGAATGCAGTTTTAGGGCACCAACTACACTTACGCCCTTCTGGCTCTGAACAAAAATATGGGTCCTACATGTATTTTTCAGAGCCAGAAGGGCGTAAGTGGACTTACGCCCTTCTGGCTCCAAACATTACTCACACTTTTGTGTTAGGTCTGTATTGTTTTGTTGCTTTATTCAATACAGTTTGATCTCAGATAGGTCTTTTTGGCACAACTAGATAGAGCTCATCAAGACCTTTAATTTGATATATAGAACTCATTTTCGCCCAAAATGCCACTTACGCCCCTCTGGTTCCAAGCCCTCGTTATGATGACACGTAATTGTTGTTTATTAGTGAGCTAGACAGAAGATCGCTAAACTCGCTCGCAAATTACAGCCAGTCATCGAATTATTAGCGTAACTGTTTGAAATAATATTTGCAAAACACCTGACTGAGTCTGAAGCTGCTCTTGAGATGCGGCCGCAATGTTGTGGCACCTGATGTGATGTCAGGGAAAGGGGCGTGGCTTCCTGCTCAGGGGCGTGGCTTCTGGCTGTGTTGACCCCGCCCACGAGGACAGGCCAAGTTTGAATGTTGTTTTTACTGAAAATCCTGCATAGTCCATCTTTATCCTATTAAGTCGTAAAAACAAAAACAAAACCTAACAGCTTTTTTGAGAAATATCTTGCCATTTTACGGTATGTAGAGGGTTAGTGGCCTGTGGGGGTCATCTGAGGCAACGGCTACTGAAGTTGTGTTGGATATTCTCATGCTTAATGTGTGTATGTGTGTTCTGTGCTGGTAGTTTGTTCATGTCCCGTTGTTGTTTTCCTCACAGAGGCACCTCCAACGATGAGATGTGTAACTTCTACATCATGTACTACATGGACAACATCCATGCTGTGCCGTACATGAACTGCGGAGATGACGGCAGCAGTGAGCTTTTCCGAAACATCCCTTCTGAGGCCAATACTCCCATCCCGGTCAGGCCAGACCATATGATGTCCATGAAGCACGAGGCAGCTCCTCGTAAAGGTACCGTCCAAACACACACATCTCCAGATTTAGCACACGCAATAGTGAGAGTAGGCAGTACGACCAAACTCTTGTATCATGGTATGATTGCATTATATATGTTATATTATATTTATTTTTTACATTAAACCAGAATGTTTTCCAAATGAAATGTACTTAATTTGATTTGTTCTCTTCTATATATTCTCATTTTCTCATTTCTGTTGTGATTTGGACAGATGCTGTGGAGTCTTTGGATCTGCAGCAGCCCAAGAGAGAAGAGGACGTCCAGGATCAGGGTAAGATGCTTACAAGTTATTTCAAATTACAGACATAGTCAAGACTAAGAGACACTGTCCTGAAACACAATCAGTGCTGGAATACCCTTACAAATCGAATTTGACACGCTGAATGGCACTCTTTTGCTGTAAAAAAAACACAATATCAGTAGAGGCTCCGAGACTGGAAACGAGTGTCAGAAAGGGGAGTCATCCAAAGGTTGGGAAATGAATAAAAACTGTTCCACGCCTGCATGACTTTCTTTTTTCAGTGGTACATGAAAGTTGTTGTTCTGTTGCTTTTTTCCATACAGTGAAAGATGGAAAAAAGGATAAAAGCATCATAAAAACAGTCTGCAGTGAAGTTTACAAAAATGACAACAACATAATTTGCGAATAAAACAATTTAATACAAAATAATAATAATAAACATAATACAAAAAAAACAACGTAATACAATAAGCAAATACTAAAAGCCTTCCGCTCTGACACAGCTCTCAAACTCATTTTCAAATCTTATTTATTTGTCACTACTTTTTCTGTGCTTATTTCTTGGCCTGTTTATAGCTTAATAACATTTCTTTCTTTGTATGGATGACTTTCTGCAAGATTTTTCCTTTTGTGTTCCATAAAAGAAAGGAAATCATGTTTCGAGTGGCATATGGCTTGATAAACTGTTAAACACATCATCCGATTCATTGGTGACGTGAAAATCTAGTGTTGATGCGAATAGGCTGGAGGCTGTGCAAATGAAAGCTGTGTGCTTTGACATGTTTATGTTCTGGTTTATCAGAGATTTGTTTCAAAGGCGTCAATTTTCTTTCATTTTCTTAATTGCTCAATTTTTTGATGATGAATGCACCAATGCATGACTGCCTTCACAGCAACGTTTTTAAGGTTCTTTGGAGTTCAAATTTTAAAAGGATTCACTCACCAAAAAGCTGAGAGCTTGCATAATCTGCTAGCATCTCATTTCTGCTGTTTTTAAATGGCAAAACTCCTTACATTTAACCTCAGCAGTTACTGAAACTGGTAACACTTTACTGTAAGGTCTCATTTATTAACATTGGTTAATGCATTAAATAGCATAAACTAACAATGAGCAATATATTTTTACAGCATTATTAACATTTTTTTATGTTAGTTAATAAAAATGTTCATGTTAGTCCACAGTGCATTAACTAATTTTAACATAACTTGATCTAAACGTATTAGTAAATGTTGAGATTAATATTAACTAAGATTAATAAAGGCTGTAGAAATATGGTTCATTCTAAGATAACCAATGTTAAAAAATGAAGCCTCATTGTAAAAATGACTTTGTCTTTTGCATATCATGGTATTTTAATTGCTTTTTACAGAATATATTTATACATGTTATGTATTAGCATCTCCACGTGAAGCTCATTTGCATAATCTTAAGCTATAATCTGAATTATACCTGTGTTACTTGCTTCTCAAACCACCTCTGAAGTTTTAGCAATGTTCTGAATGCATAGATCCAAACATAATTGAAAAAGTTTCAACTGTCATGTATGCTTTCATTTAGACTAGCTCTTATTAAGAATAGCTGTTGTTAGGTACTTATTTCTCTGAATTAGTATGAATTGAATGTTTAGTATTGTATCCATTTTGTATAGGAGTGTGTGGAGAGTTGTCCTGCTTTGTTCCAGCCACTGTTGTGGCGTGACCAGTCAATTACCTGGCTGCATCTGGAGGTTTATGCATGGCCACCCTGTTGTGAACCTTGGGATGAGAGTCAGGATGGGCAAAAGGCAGTTAGTTCATAAGAAACTGCATGTGGACCAATGAGAAGCCTTTTTTTCAAGGCCTGGTAGTGGGGTCGTGTTTTTGCCCAGTAAGAGATGTCTAGCAGTTGTTTTAGCAGCCTTATCTGATGGTCCTGGGTATATGTTTGTGTTAGTCCAAGATCCAATGGAAATCTATGAAATATTTCAGCACTGTGACGGTCAGAGGAACGCTATTAAACAGGTGGTAGAGGGTTGGGATGGTAGGGTCAGAAATTGGTGTAAACCACATGGATCCATCCTGCCTTGTATCAGCGGCTCAGGCTGCTGGTGCTGTAATGGTGTGTGTGGGATATTTTCTTGGCAGACTTTGGGCCCTTTAGTACCAATTGAGCATCATTTAAACACCACAGCCGTCCTGAGTATTGTTGCTGACCGTGTCCATCCCTTTATGACCACAGTGGACCATCTTCTGATGGCCTCTTCCAGCAGGATTACGTGCCATGTCACAAAGCTCAAATCTTCTCAAACTGGTTTCTTGAACATGACAGTGAGTTCACTAAACTCAAATGATCTCCACGGTCTCCAGATCTCAATCTAATAGAGCAGCTTTGGGATGTGCTGGAACGGGAGATTCACATCATGGATGTGCAGCCGACAAATCTTCCGCAACTCTGATGAAATCATTGACCAAAATCCCTAAGGAATCTTTCCAGCACCTCATTGAATCTTTGCCAATAAAGAATTTGGGTAGTTCTGAAGGCAAAATGGGGGTCCAACCTGCTAATTGCATGGTGTACCTAATAAAGTGGCCAGTGAGTGTATGTATGTATATATATATATATATATATATATAAAGAGTAGGGGTGTAACCCCGGCATCCTGGACAAATTTGCCCATTGGCCTCTGTCCATCATCATGGCTCCTCCTAATCATCCCCATATAAATACTGATTGGCTTCATCACTGTCTCCTCTCCACCAATAAGCCGGTGTGTTCTGGCACAATATGGCTGCCATCGCATCATCATCAGGTGGCGCTGCACACTGGTGGTGGTTGAGGAGATTCCCCTCTTCAATGTAAAGCACTCTGAGTGCAGAGAAAAGCGCTATATAAATGTGGCGAATTATTATTAATTAGAACTGTCAACGTTAATGAGTTAACACATGCGATTAATTCAAAATCCTTGGCACGTTAAATTAATTTAATGCAATTAACATACTAGTTTACGTTGTGCAGTTAGATGATCTAAGAGGTCCAGGCTGATTACATCAGAGATGGCAGAGAGAACAGTGGCTCGCGGCCAGTTTTCAGTGGATTATTCATTCCAGTGTCTACTAAGCTTTAAAACACGAGCTTTGTCATGTTCTGAGATTGTTTCTGAAGAGCGTGAGCCCGCATGCATCGCGCGGTGTGTGAAATACAGACTAAACGCAACGTCAAAACATACCACCGCTGTATGGCCAGATGATACGCAAACTACGTTTCTCGGATGGATAAAGCAAACCAGCGTCTCGCTAGTAAAGTTGTGGATTGCAATCGAGGTAAAGACGATTGCAGTGACACATAGGAGTCGGAGTGACATATACAGTAAGCACACGCGAGTCCGTTATATTGAGGCACAAACAAACCGTGTATCGATGCACTGATCGCACATTGTATTTGTGCACACATTCAGTACATTCACACACATTCAGGATAATTTTTTTATTTATTTATCATGTGTATCTTGCTGTGTTTAGTAATTCTGAATGGATCCGTGTATTGTAGTAGGTATATGCAGTCAGGTCAAGGCGGTCGTTGTTTTGTTTCGTTTTTTTGGCATGTTCATGTGGTCCTGTTCGTTATCACAACTTGACTTGTCTAAAATGTTTGGGGGTCACTTATGGCGCTTTTCCACTACACAGTACCAGCTCGCCTCGGCTCGGCTCGACTCGACTCGACTCGACTCGCCTTTGTTTGGTTTTCCACTGTGTAAAAGTTGTACCTGTACCTGCTTTCGGGTACTTTTTTTCGTACCACCTCCGGCGAGGTTCTAAGCGAGCTGAGGCGAGCTAAGCCGATACTAAAATGTGACGTGAAAACAATGCCGACTGCTGATTGGTCACAGAGAATCTGGGTCATCATTGCACGCGCCAGATGGAGTATCCAGAATAACCCCGCCATTTTTAAATAGTTTGGCCAGAGATAGTTACTAAACTTACTACTATTATTATGGCAACTCGAAAGAATACGCCGTGGTCAAACGAGGAGGTGCAGACATTCCTTTGTTTGGTTGCCGAAGAGAGGATCCAGCGAGAGCTTGATGGGGCAACGAGGAACGAAAGGCGTCGCTATGACGACCGGGTACTATTTGTGGCGGTACTTTCTGCAATGGAAAACGGAGCGAAAAGCGAGCCGAGCCAAGGCGAGTCGAGTCGAGCTGGTACTGGTAATGGAAAAGCGCCATTAGAAATGTTAGCCTGGGTTTCCCCATACTGCCTTTGCGCAGCGCGATTTTATTCACGCTGCTAGGTAGTCTGGAGACCATGGACCAAATTTTCGCCTCAGCGAGGGGACCAATCACAGAACGGGGAGGGAGCAGCAAGACGATGACGACGTCTGTGCGACACACAGAAGCAGTTTGTTTATACCTATGGATCCAACATGGCAGCAGACGCGAAGTTACCTTTCGATGCAGCCTTAGATACATACGCCATCATGTACACATAAATCTCTGACCCATCGTCTTCTTCCTCGTCTAATGTCTGTCTCTCTACATACATCATCTGGTATAATTGAAACGATTGGCTATGAGCTACGTACAGGCGCATTTGATAGACATTCGTTGCACCCAATAAACGGCTCTGGGCATTCGTAAACCACGCCTCAAATACGAGAAAATGAACATGTGGTTCCCAGACCACGTCTCAATGTCAATGAGACGTGGTCTGACGTTAGCCAGTCTATAGAAATGTCACCTTTTCCATGAAAACGTCAAATAATAAAGTAATTACAACTTTCAAGCAAACTTTCAAGTCCTTAAAATTGACATGTTTCTTAACACTTAAAATTGATTACTAGAATCGACAGTGCTATTCTATTACTCAATAAGTGAAGTCTAATAATTTCACTAATACCATTCAACATTAAGCACAATTGTAGATATATATATCTCAATAAATGACTACCAGTTTGTTTTAATGCAAGAATAGTAGTTGTGTG